CCATACTGGTGACATGGACAGACTCTTGGTGGAGAAGTGATGTTGTGGCAGCGATAATGAACCAGCAAGAGAGAGTCAGTCTTGGGACTGCAGGTAACCGTAAAGCCTTCCTTTCTGCCCTCCTCTAGGAGAAGGAGAAGGTGGGGGAAAATACGGGGCTGGGATATATAAAGGGCATGGTACCGTGGCTGGCTGTGTACCAGCAGAAAGACCCAGTGCCCATTCTCAGGGTAGAAACCATCTCTTCAGCGTGTCTGCTGCCAGACACTGAGCTGGACTGTCAGTCCTTTGAGTAAGTGACTACTCGCTGTTGTGTTTAACAGGCTGGGATACAGAGCCCAGCTAAGAGTTGGGTAGCTGAGAGAAAGAAGCTCCAGAGAGAGGTGAGGAGGAGGGAGGTAGAGAAAGAGCATTCAGTGAAACACAGGGGGAAGGGAGGGCAACCAGGAAGGTGTGCAGGGGAGAAAAGAGGCGTGACAGAAGAAGAAAAGTAGTGCAGCTTGGGAAGAGCGCAGGCATGGCTTGTGACATGAAGCAAGAGGGCAGTCCCCGTGTTGTCCTACGCTGCAGGTGTGACCCACTGCCAGTGACAGACAGCACGAGCTGGTTACAGCACCTGCGGGACCTGCCAGGCCTTGGGACAGGGTTATCAGCAGGCTGTCAGGGCACGCAGCCCCTTGGATTATCCTGCCCCCCGACTCTGGGCCGGGGATTTCCACTCTTGCCTTGTGTTTTTCAGCCCCAGCAGAAGGGAGCAGCTGTTCCCGCCTGAGCCCCTGGGTCTTGCTCGCTTCTGCCCTTGCCGTCAAAACTGCCCTTATGACCGTCGGCCTCGGTGGGTGCCAGGGTCCCTTTACTTCTGCGGGGAGGAAGGGAACGGGGCCTGAGTTGCCTGGTGTCAGGTGGACAAAGAAAACCCCAGCCTCTTTGCCAGCAGGCGACTGCCCTGCACCCAAACAGCCTGTTCTGCTGCCCCTTTCCCACGCTGCCTCTTAGCTGGGGAGTCGCGTCCCTTGCACAGTTAGCAGGTAGTGTCCTGGCAGGGCCTTCCCACAGCTCCTCTCACTTGCCCACCTGTGCAGATAAAGCCAGTCCTGGGTGAAACCCATCAGTTCCTGCCCTCCCACTGCAACAGGGCCGAGAAGTCTCCTTAGTGCCAGACACATCTGAGCAGGTTCCCCGAGGGCTGGCTGTTGGCTCTCAGTTCTGCTGGCCGCATTTGTGGTGTCCCTCAGAGCTCCTCGTGGCCCTGTTGCAGCCGAGGAGCCAGCATGATGGACATCCTGCTACCAGGGCTGCCCATGGTTGAGCAGAGTGAGGCGTAAATCCTCCAAAATGCTCCAGCTGCATCCCACCCACACCGCCTGGAAGAAACAGAAGGGAAATATGTTGCGTGTAGTGTCCTGGAGTATCGTTACTGCTCTGCGATAACTCTCCTGTGGTGTTCAGCTCCCTTGGGTGAGGCCTCAGCACTCAGCAGTTCTTCCCCTCCTTGGCATGGGTGAAAAGGGTGCTCTAAAGCTGCAGATCACAGGCAGATTAAGAGGGAATGCAGATTGATATTGCACCTTTACTAGGATGATCTCACAACTTCTTTGACCTTTTCCCGACCTCATCCTCAAGGAGTCTTAGCTGGGCTTTGTCAGCTGGGAAAATGAGCCAGCCAGCTGAGGTGAGGGGGGCTCATCTGATCGTGTTTGCCCAAGGGAGGGAGTGACCCGTAGTGGGGAAAGCTGTCTGCTCTTTTCCTTCAGGATACAATTTTCAGAGCTTGTTGGTGTAACCGAGTCTCTGAGGGAGCTCTCAGCCAGAAGGTGGAGGGCAGGACAGCTTGCCCATGAGTGAGGATGAAAGGATGACAGTAGCGCCTTCCTTCTCTTTCCTCTCTTCCCAGTTGTTCTCTTTCACAGGAGCTGTGGCCAGTACAAGACTCTGCCCCAGAATGCTTCGGAGTGGCACTGCATCACCAGTGGATCTGCAAGCCAAAGTGAGTGATGCTAAGAGCCTTGGGAGTGACACTGAGCACATCCCCCAATTTATTCTGGTGTAAATCAGCCTTTGAGTTTGGGAACGGGATTGTCAGCCAGAGCTGGATTGCCCTAGGGAAGGAAGATGGAGAGATGAGGAAAGAAAATGCTGTGTTTTCAAGTCTGACTTAGGATGCTCTGAAAACACGTCCTGGGCCAGTGGAAGGGGTGGGGTTCTCCATGTCCACCTTGTGATCACTCGTCCCATTCTCTGCCCACATACAGCCCCTCAGCTCCAGTCCAGTTCACAAATCTAGCCAAAAGCACTTCATCCTTTTGTAAGGGATGGCTCAGACCTGCGCTCTCTAGTGCCAGAGTATCTGTTTCTACAAATGTAATGGTAAACATTGATCTAATATAGAAGAACACAGGTAAATTAATATTTTTTTTCTACTTCTTCCACTCCCTGGACTCTTCACTCTCTCGATTTGGTGCCAAGAAGGGAATCTGAGACAACTGCTTTGACCCTGATTAGATTTTAACTGTGTGAAATGAGCAGCTTTTCATTTCACAGAATCACAGAATTGTAGGGGTTGGGAGATACATGAAGAGAGCATTGGGTCAAACCCCCCTGCCAAAGCAGGTTCCCTAGAGCAGGTTGCCCAGGAGGCATCCAGATGGGCCTTGAATATCTCCAGAGAAAGGGACTCCACAGCCTCATGCATGGAAGCTGGGAGCTTTTGAAGAGTGTGAGCCCTGAAGCCTACATCTTCACTCTGCTGGGCGAGAATATGTGAGTGCAAGGGACATGGTGAAATATATACCTGTAGGTACTGGAAGAACTAAGCACCTCTCCAGGCAGAAGCATTGGAGGCAGGCAGGTTCGTTGCTTTTCATGTGGTTCTTGCAGCACAAGAATTCTTTGCTTCTGGTTTTGGTTCCTCTGTGGTCTTGCTTTGGACCACAGCCTCCTGGGCCTCTCCTCCCTTCCCTGTTCCTTTCATTTTTCTGGCCCCATATCAGCAGCAGCTGGTTACAGCATTTGGCAGTCACACCTTGATTGCATAGATTAGCACAGGGAGCCCCTGGAGAGCTCCTGTGTGGGGAACCCAAGAAGACAGTCCCTGAGAGGTCTGGGATTCAGGGCAAGCATCTTCAGCTCTGCTCAGTGTACCAGAGTCTCTTTGTTGGTTGACTAGACTAGAAGGACTTCTTTGTTGGACATGTTCCAAATTGAGTTATATTCTGTGTGTGATAGAAACAGCTTACAGATAGAGGTATATAACCTGAAAAAAGATAACCTCGTCCTTTAGAGAATGTGCCCATGCTTTTTAATCCATCATGCGACTTTCTGCATGTATGGCAAATTTCTAGGAAAACATGCACGGCTTGTGTAAGAAACTACCAGTGTTGGCAGTGAGGCTGCCAGCCTAGTTTACTGTGTATGTTTGTTCCTGTGTATGAGATGAGAGCTAATCACTTGGACAATGCTTTTCTGATGTCAGTGTCCCCAGAGGAGTGCTGCCAGCTACTTCCCATCTGACTTCCTCAGGAACGGTGAGGCAGAAAGTGCCTCTCCCCAAGCAGAGCTTGAATGGGCACGATAGAACAAGGAAAAAGCTCTTCAAGCAGGGGCCCGGTGACAGCAATCTGTCAGGGTGTCAATGGTGCTGTTTGTGGAGCACAAAAGAGAGCATTTACCGCAGTCCAAAAAGAAATGTGCAGTTCAAACCCCTTCCCTGATACTTGGGGTTCTGTGCTGAGCTCACTAAGAGGCACAGCGCATCTTGTCCAACACAGGCTCTTCTTCCCCTACAGAGGTCAGCTGGAAGTGCTGTCCAGAGGGCTGGAGACCCTTTCAGGAAAGCTGCTATTACTTCTCAGATGATCAGATGCCCTGGGATGAGAGCCAGCAGAACTGCGGTGGGATGGGCTCCCAGCTGGTGGTCATCAATACAAAAGCAGAGCAGGTAAGTGCAGGGCTGGGAGAGGGCCAGAGCAGCCTGGAGACAGGAGTGCCAGGCCTGGAGGGGCCTCAGAGCCCCTCCTGGCTCCTGCAGTGGAGGGGGGATGTCCTTGCTGCATGCACTCAGCACTGGCTCCAGTCTGCACCAGCTCCACCCCACTGGGACTCCTGCCACCTCCCTCTGTTCAGTCATGAACCTCATGGACGTTTGTACTCTCCCTCATTTCCAGGATTTCCTCTCTAAGGAAATAAGAAGACAGATGAATACCGACTAAATGGAATCAATTTATACATCGGTCTGAGAGCACAGAAGGTGGGCCAGTGGCGCTGGGCAGACCAGGACTCCCTATTAATGAATCAGCAGCGTGAGTATCCCCATGACGGAGAGGGTTGGTGTGGCTCCGGGTTAGTGCAAGAGGGTGGAAGAGATGTGAGGGTTGTTCTGATGAGCATGGGAGGATATGCCATGGCTGTCTGTGAGAGGACAATGATGGAGCGGCAAGGGCTTTTGTAGGATACCAGGTTCCCACAGATCCATCCATGCTGGTTAGTGGTTAGCGATTATAAATTATCTGTGACATGGCCATCGGTGCTGTAGGCAGAGAATAGAAGCTGCCTTTCCTGAGGAGAAATACATGAATTCATACAGGACACGCCATGTGCCTGTAGGTGTGCAGGTGTTAAGCACATGCTGGGCCAGTGCTGTCCATGCTGCAAGAAGCGATGGGGGTGCTGGAGAGATCACCAGGGCTTGGCTTGCAGGTGTTTCTTCTGGAAGAGAACCGCATCCCCTGCTGGCTGTGAAGTGCCTGGGGTGAGCTGTGGTGAGCAGCTCTGCCCACCAGGACTGAACAGCTCCCTGCTGTGTTGGTTCTAGGAAGAAGTCAGGTTTGCATGTAAGACTGCTGCCAGTGGGATTAGCAGAGTGCGAGGAAGGGTACGACTTCTGTCCATCAAACTGCATCTGGAGTGTCTCCCCTCCAAGCCTTGTGTTGAACGTGTGGCCTTTTCCAGCAATGTGCTTGCAGGGTGCACAGGGAGGAGTAACATGTCTGTCTCTCTCTCAGGTTCTGGAGGTCTGGGGAGCCAAGTAATGTGACTGATGAGCGCGTTGAGTTGTAATCAGTTACCAGAAGATGTTCTTCCGCAACTGGAATGATGTCCCGTGCAGAATACGTTTTTATCGGATTTGTGAAAATGCAGCCAGTAACTCTATGATGGAGGAATCCTCATCCTGAGATTAGCAGCGAACTGGGAAAAACAGAGGGCTGTGGTTGGGAGGGGTAGGAGGAGCCTTGGAGCCTTATCTTCCCTCTGCTGGGTGGGATGGTGAGACTGGGAGTATGTTGCTCTGCACACAGCATCCCCTGTGCCTGTGCATTTCTCAAAGTACCCCTGATGTGGAAACAATAAATGCTAGAAGAACTCTGCATGTGCTTTCTCAGGCTGATCATCCAATCCCACGGTTGGTGAAGACAGATTTGGCACTGGAAGCTCCAGGCAAGCATGGCAGGTGAGGTCATGTCTGGGAAATGTGCCAGTACCTTTCTTTCAATGCCATTGCCTCCCTGGGACTGACACATGAGGGTTTCAGGTCATCAGAGCAGTCCTGGGCTCTTCTGTCCAGTCATCCTCTTCTCTCTGTGTGGGTCTGGCAGCTGCTGGCTGAAAAGAGCTGGAGCTCTCCTGAAGGAAGAAGATGCAGGAATGCAAGAAGGATGCTCAGAGCTGCTGTTCTCTTTGTCTGCTTGAGAAGAGGTGTCTGCTTCTTGCTGGATCATAGAGAGTCCTGTTCAGCATTGGCTTTGCTGAACAAATACTGATTTCCTGTAAAGCAGAAAATACAATATTACACCGATGACAAAGGCCTCTGGGCTCACTCCCCCTCTCTCTCTTTCCCTTTCCCTCTCTAAGCTGAGGTATTTTGCACATGCACGTGCTTCATACCAAGCCTGTTGCTGTGCCAGCAAAGAGCCAGAGATGACTGCAGTAGAAGTTGCATACACCCAGTGAGTCTTAACGCTTCAGAGATAACCTGTGTGTAACGGTCCTGTCGCACACAGCCAGGGCTCTGGGAGAGAGCGGGCACAGGAAACCAGCTGTGGGGTTTTCATATGTTGCCATGCTGAAACTCTTACCTGACAGAGAAACAGGAGCGTGTGCCAGGAGTCTAGCCTGCACATGGTTGACCAGGTATGAGGACATGGCCCCAGCAGCAAAATTAGTAGGTCTTTTGGTCACCCTTCCCACCTCAGAGCTAATTCTGGACTCAACAGATGCAGCGGGCGTCCTGGGAGGCTGGCACCTCAGTGGGCCCTGTCAGGGCACCCCTGCCCAGGCTGGATGATGCTGGAGAAGAGGCAGGGAGAGGCAGGGCAGTTGCTGCCCGTGAGGGCCCCTCCAGAACTGCAATGCATATTGCCTCCACTTCCACCCGAGTCTTGCTGCAGACCATGTGCCCCTGTGGCTCCCATCCTTCTCCACCCCTTTCTGTTTCCTGGTCCCTATGCCCCCACCTCTGTTTGCCTCGGGAAGCATCACCTGCCTCGGTGCTCCCAAACAACCCGTGCCAGTTCCCCGTGCAGCGCCGATGTGCATCTCCTGGCTGTGTTGTTCTGTCCTACCTATAACGTGAGCCGTCCCTCTGTGTCCCAGTGCAGGGGAGAATTAGTACTGGAGAAAAGGTGGCTGACCAGGAGAGTTGGCTTCCTAAACGCATCCATGGGAGTCATTGTGTGGGTGGTGGCAGAAGCTGCCGAATGCCATAACCCAGCAGATGCAAGGCAGCTGCATTGCCATGTCCTTAAGTCCAGGCTGTAGCGAGGCTGAGTGTGTACACCAAACAGGCACAGCTGCACACATTCACACAGCGTGTACGTATACAGGTACAAGTATGCATAGCATGCAGACAGATGAGCACTGCTGAAAAGCACTTGCACAATCAGCACCAGCAGCCTCACCCTACTGCCCTCTCTGGCTGCTCAGGGTGAAAGCTTGTTAGCTGAGAATATACGCTTACATATATGCAGTATGGATCCCTCCAGGTGTAGGATATCCCGACCGAAAGCCCCGGGACAAACTGACACAACGACCAGCATTCTGTGCCATAAGCCAATTTATTACTGCGTGACATTATCTTATTTAGTGTCAAAGCGTCCCACCCAGGAACGCAGGACCCCTCCCACTGTGCTCGCAGTAACCCCAGACCCCTCCTTTCGTGCACGCAGGCACAACCCAGAATAATCCCACACCAGGAGCTAGGCTTAATCATTGAGTATCCAGTAGCTGCACTGTAGATTGCAAGGTCACATAAGACCCCTGTTGCCGCAGTATTTTCTTCTGTCCACATCCCACTGATCTTGTTGTATCCATGCTGTTCTTGTTGGCTCTTGCCTGTACTGCAAGGGTCTGGGAAAGTAGACTCAAGATTCTCCGGGGCCTCCAACTAGCAATTCCTAGCAATGAACTTGGTAAAACCAAGTTCCACTGTCTTCAGTGGTTCAGGGACAGGCACGAGAGACCCTGGCAACTCTGCCAGGTTGGAGCATCTATAAGCAGAGTTGGATGCCATGGGCAGGCATTCAGCTGTCATTCCTGGCTGTGAGGGGTACGGCAAATACACACCCACAGCTTCAGCAGATGCATGTGCCCTTGAGCTTCCTCAGCAGCCTGTGGGTCAGCAGACTGCATGAAGTGGTGTGGACGCACACAGAACCTGCACCAGCAGCAGGAAGCCCCTGTAAACAGGGGAACCCACACGCACAGAAAAGAGGATGTGTTCTCGTAAGCTGCACTTCCCACCGCAGAAGCGAGAGCAGGGTCAGGAGCTTGTGCAAGTGTGCGTCTGATAACATGTAGGGTCTGGAGTTCTTGGGGGGGTAGCTGCAGAAAGCTGTTTAGAAACCCATAGCTGTTTATTAATGTGTCATTGATCCATTATATCGAAGAATCACAGAATCAGAGAACTGTAGGGGTTGGAAGGGAACTCGAAAGATCATCGGGTCCAACCCTCCTGCCAAAGGAGGTTCCTCAGAGCAGGCTGCCCAGCTAGGCATCCAGACAGGCCTTGAATATCTCCAGAGAAGGAGACTCCACAACCTCCCTAGGCAGCCTGTTCCAGTGCTCCGTCACCCACACCATGAAGAGGACAAACAACAGAGTCCCAGGGGAGGTCCAGGAGCACCCCCCGCCTCGATGGCTCCTCCACCACCTGTGTCAGAAAATTGTCCTCAACGCATTGTAGGAACTGTTTGGACTGCTCGTGCCTGGCCGAGTTGCTTACCCAGCAGATGTCTGGGTAATTGAAGTCCACCAAGGACCAGCGCTCGTGATCGTGAGGCTACTAGCAGCTGCTCGTAGAAGGCCTCATCGACTTCCTCCTCCTGATCTGGAGACCTGTAGTAGACCCCTACCACCGTGCCTCCCATACCAAATATTCCTGATACTATTCCTGATAATATGATTCCTGATAATATTCCTGATACTGATCCCGAATATATGGATCGTGGGTTGCCAGTTAACTACATGTCATTAATGTACTGCATCAAGACCGATTAGATTTAAGCTGTGCAATATGAGCAGATTTTCCCTGTAACAGTTCCCTACCCTCTGCATCTTCCTTCCTGATCAGCCACCCTCAGCTCAACCACAGAGTCAGGCATATTACAGAGCAAGAACAAACAGCACACATTCTCATTTTGGGGCATGAGTGGTACAATTCATCTTTGTTACCAAGCTTTGTTCTAAAATTTCATTTTAGAATCTCTCACTGTGCTGTGAACCTTCTAGAACAAGTACCTTCTAGTAGCTACTTCCTTCTAGGACAATACCAGCAAGCATGTTTATGGACCGTCTTTCCAATGCAACAGCTCTGTTGGCATGGTCTGAGCCTTTTGTGCACGTTTCTACACACGGTTTACGTTTGTCCTCATTTACCACCAGCTGTGTGCCCTGCCCTTCCGAGCCTTTGATGCTCATGTTGTTAGCTATCCCATGTCTTCCTCAGCACATACTTGCCTGCCTCTTCACAGGGAGAAAGCTAACTGATGGGGTGTGGAAGAGCAGTGTCTGCATGCCCAGAGCACTCAGTTCAGAGCACAGAGAGGCCCAGCAGGGCTTCTTTTTCCTTCGGGATATCCTTAGGGATGCTTACATCCTCCGGAGTTTTCAATCAAGTCACCCCGAGCAGTGCTACAAGCACCATGTGTGCCTCACGTAGTGGTGACAGAGTAAAGCTTTGCGATCTGTCACAGGCAGGGATGCTGACATGATCTGGTGATCCCTTCAGATCTCCGGCTCCATATCAGCAAGTCACGTGCCCTAGTGAGTGTGTTTATTACTATTTATCCCTTTGCTAGCAAATACCAACAGCACAGGCATTTTCACACTCGTTCTCTCTCACCAGGGAAGGATAAAAACACCACTAATGTGTCTTGTGAAGCTGCTTGAAAATGTGCAGAAGAAGATGGTCTGAGTGGCAGGGGTTCTAGTTTTCATCTGTTTTCCTTTGCCTCTGTGAGTTTCTTTTTTGCAACAAGCCTCTTGTGAAACGTCCTGACAGAGAAATGATGAAAATTCCCCCATCTCCATGTGCTGTGAGAAATACCCCAGGTATGGCTCTGTCTGCACATCAAATTCGAGTCCGTGCAGACTGCCCGGCACTGTGGGAGCTGCCCTAGCTCCTCCTCCTGCAGGAGGGCTGTGCTTGTGGCCATACTGGTGACATGGACAGACTCTTGGTGGAGAAGTGATGCTGTGGCAGCAATTATGAACCAGCAAGAGAGAGTCAGTCCTGGGACTGCAGGTAACCGTAAAGCCTTCCTTTCTGCCCTCCTCTAGGAGAAGGAGAAGGTGGGGGAAAATATGGGGCTGGGATATATAAAGGGCATGGTACCGTGGCTGGCTGTGTACCAGCTGTACCAGCAGAAAGACCAAGTGCCCATTCTCAGGGTAGAAACCATCTCTTCTGCGTGTCTGCCGCCACAGACACTGAGCTGGACTGTGAGTCCTTTGAGTAAGTGACCACTCGCTGTTGTGTAAAACAGGCTGGGGGACAGAGCCCAACTAAGAATTGGGTCGCTGAGAGAAAGAAGCTCCAGAGAGAGGTGAGGAGGAGGGAGGTAGAGAAAGAGCATTCAGTGAAAGACGGGGTAAGGGAGGGCAACCAGGAAGGTGTGCAGGGGAGAAAAGAGGCGTGACAGAAGAAGAAAAGTAGTGCAGCTTGGGAAGAGCGCAGGTATGGCTTGTGACATGAAGCAAGAGGGCAGTCCCCGTGTTGTCCTACGCTGCAGGTGTGACCCACTGCCAGTGACAGACAGCACGAGCTGGTTCCAGCGCCTGCGGGACCTGCCAGGCCTTGGGCCAGGGTTATCAGCAGGCTGTCAGGGCACGCAGCCCCTTGGATTATCCTGCCCCCCGACTCTGGGCCGGGGATTTCCACTCTTGCCTTGTGTTTTTCAGCCCCAGCAGAAGGGAGCAGCTGTTCCCGCCTGAGCCCCTGGGTCTTGCTCGTTTCTGCCCTTGCCGTCAAAACTGCCCTCATGACCGTCGGCCTCGGTGGGTGCCAGGGTCCCTTTACTTCCCCGGGGAGGAAGGGAACGGGGCCTGAAGTTGCCTGGTGTCAGGTGGAAAAAGAAAACCCCAGCCTCTTTGCCAGCAGGCGACTGCCCTGCACCCAAACAGCCTGTTCTGCTGCCCCTTTCCCACGCTGCCTCTTAGCTGGGGAGCCGCGTCCCTTGCACAGTTAGCAGGTAGTGTCCTGGCAGGGCCTTCCCACAGCTCCTCTCACTTCCCAGCTGCCGAATCCAGCCAGTCCTGGGTGAAACCCATCAGTTCCTGCCCTCCCACTGCAACAGGGCCGAGAAGTCTCCTTAGTGCCAGACGACATCTGAGCAGGTTCCCCGAGGGCTGGCTGTTGGCTCTCAGTTCTCCTGGCCGCATTTGTGGTCTCCCTCAGAGCTCCTCATGACCCTGTTGCAGCCGAGGAGCCAGCATGATCTCCCTGGACATCCTGCTACCAGGGCTGCCCACGGTTGAGCAGAGTGAGGCGTAAATCCTCCAAAATGCTCCAGCTGCATCCCACCCACACCGCCTGGAACAAACAGAAGGGAAATATGTTGCGTGTAGTGTCCTGGAGTATCGTTACTGCTCTGCGATAACTCTCCTGTGGTGTTCAGCTCCCTTGGGTGAGGCCTCAGCACTCAGCAGTTCTTCCCCTTCTTGGTATGCGTGCAAAGGGTGCTCTAAAGCTGCAGAACACAGGCAGATTAAGAGGGAATGCAGATTGATATTCCACCTTTACTAGGATGATCTCACAACTTCTTTGACCTTTTCCTGACCCCATCCTCTAAGGGTGTCTTAGCTGGGCTTTGTCAGCTGGGAAAATGAGTCTCAGCCAGCTGAGGTGAGGGGGGCTCATCTGATCAGTGTTTGCCCAAGGGAGGGAGTGACCCGTAGTGGGGAAAGCTGTCTGCTCTTTTCCTTCAGGATACAATTTTCAGAGCTTGTTGGTGTAACCGAGTCTCTGAGGGAGCTCTCAGCCAGAAGGTGGAGGGCAGGACAACTTGCCCATGAGTGAGGATGAAAGGATGACAGTAGCGCCTTCCTTCTCTTTCCCCTCTTCCCAGTTGTTCTCTTTCACAGGAGCTGTGGCCAGTACAAGACTCTGCCCCAGAATGCTCCAGGGTGGCACTGCATCCCCAATGGATCTGCAAGCCAAAGTGAGTGATGCTAAGAGCCTTGGGAGTGACACTGAGCACGTCCCCCACATTTATTCTGGTGTAAGTCAGCCTTTGAGTTTGGGAACGGGATTGTCAGCCAGAGCTGGATTGCCCTAGGGAAGGATGATGGAGAGATGAGGAAAGAAAATGCTGTGTTTTCAAGTCTGACTTAGGATGCTCTGAAAACACGTCCTGGGCCAGTGGAAGAGGGTGGCTTGCTCCAGTTCTACCTTGTGATCACTCGTCCCATTCTCTGCCCACATATAGCCCCTCAGCTCCAGTCCAGTTCACAAATCTAGCCAAAAGCACTTCATCTTTTTGAAAGGGATGGCTCAAACCTGTGTTCTCCAGTGCCATGGTTTCTGTTTCTACAAATGTAATGGTAAACATTGATCTAATACAGAAGAACACAGGAAAATTAACATTTTTTTTTCTGCTTCTTCCACTCCCTGGACTTTTCAATTTCTCGATTTGGTGCCAAGAAGGGAATCTGAGACAACTGCTTTGACCCTGATTAGATTTAAAACTGTGTGAAATGAGCAGCTTTTCATTCACAGAATCACAGAATTGTAGGGGTTGGGAGGGACGTGAAGAGAGCATTGGGTCCAACCCCCCTGCCAAAGCAGGTTCCCTAGAGCAGGTTGCCCAGGTAGGCATCCAGATGGGCCTTGAATATCTCCAGAGAAAGGGACTCTACAGCCTCATGAATGGAAGCTGGGACCTTTTGAAGAGTGTGAGCCCTGAAGCCTGCATCTTCACTCTGCTGGGTGAGAATATGTGAGTGCAAGGGACATGGTGAAATATATACCTGTAGGTACTGGAAGAACTAAGCACCTGCCCAGGCAGAAGCATTGCAGGCAGGCAGGTTCATTGCTTTTCAATGTGGTTCTTGCAGCACAAGAATTCTTTGCTTCTGGTTTTGGTTCCTCTGTGGTCTTGCTTTGGACCACAGCCTCCTGGGCCTCTCCTCCCTTCCCTGTTCCTTTCATTTTTTCTGGCCCCATATCAGCAGCAGCTGGTTACAGCATTTGGCAGTCGCACCTTGATTGCATAGATTAGCACAGGGAGCCCCTGTAGAGCTCCTGTGTGGGGAACCCAGAAGAAAGTCCCTGTGAGGTCTGAGATTCAGCTCTGCTCAGTGTACCAGAGTGTCTTTGTTGGTTGACTAGACTGGAAGGACTTGTTTGTTGGACATGTTCCATATTGAGCTATATTCTGTGTGTGATAGAAACAGCTTACAGATAGAGGTATATAACCTGAAAAAAGATAACCTCGTCCTTTAGAGAATGTGCCCATGCTTTTCAATCCATCATGTGACTTTCTACGTGCATGGCAAATTTCTAGGAAAACATGCACGGCTTGTGTAAGAAACTACCAGTGTTGGCAGTGAGGCTGCCAGCTAGTTTACTGTGTATGTTTGTTCCTGTGTATGAGATGAGAGCTAATCACTTGGACAATGCTTTTCTGATGTCTGTGTCCCCAGAGGAGTGCTCAGCTCCTTCCCATCTCACTTCCTCAGGAACGGTGAGGCAGAAAGTGCCTCTCCCCAAGCAGAGCTTGAATGGGCAGATAGAACAAAGGAAAAAGCTCTTCAAGCAGGGGCCCGTGACAGCAATCTGTC